TTTGTCTAGTGCTTGGGGGTAGAAACTTGGGCAAGACATTGCTCAAGGAAAAAGCAATTGCCAAATGCAAGGCAAATGTGAACATCCTTTCGGTCGACATGAGGGACGCAGACATGCTTGGCAAGGATCTGATGACAGCACTCGACTTGCAACGGCAGAAATCCCTTGGGTGGGCATGTCTCTCGGTGGAGATGTGGGGCGCAGTTAACCAATTCCCTGTCGACTACGCCCAGAGGAGATTTCGTGGATTTAGTGGGGCTGGAGCAGCGGCTAAGGAAGTGTTGGATGTCGCAGTATCACGTCATCAAATCAGCATCAACAATTTTATCCCCCGGAGCAGGAAGATCCCGAGAATCATCATCGATGAAGCAAACCTTGCAATACCGGAATTGTGGCTGAAGATGGACGCGCTGTAGCTGGATCAGCTCTACAGGCCGTCACGAAGTGGACTAAGCAGACAAGTCAAGCACGCGTGATCATGGTATCTTCAGAGTTTGGCTATCCGTTTCGGCTGCTAGCAACCGGCTTAACCTTGAGCAGCATTGGACAAGTGTGTGTCATTGGCGAAGTGCCACAGTCCGACATGAAGAAGATGCTGCAAGATGATTGGGGCATGGACGAAGACTTGGCAAAGATCTTAGTACTTCGGCGGCGACATTTACACCGCCATGAAGGCTGTAGAGAGCCTCATTCGGAAGAAAGATACTTTCGACCCCTGTGCAGTTCTGCTATGCCCCGGGCTGGCTTCGTGTGTGGAAAATGCACCAGCTAGGGTTCACCTCGAGAACATCGCCAAGCAAGGACACTCTTGGGTGAAGAATGTGAAGACGGACGAAGGTGCAAAAATGATTGCGCAGGAGAATGTGGGCGGGGTCATCAACCGCGACGTCGTCACCTTCGGATTGCCCGACATCTTCACTGGCACGGACGCGGAATGGGCTGTCATTCCATCGTCTTATCACATGAAGCTGCTTATTGCCCGCAAGCTCCAACAAATTCCTTTGCCAACATCAGGACGGTGTTTCAGAAACAGGTTCTGTGGCGCGTTCTGTTCTGTTTTGCTTACACTGTTCCAAGGGAGGAGGTGGGTTGAGGTTAAATAAATAAGCTTGTTTGGATTTTTTGGACAGTCATAAGGTTGATCAAAACATACACCCCGCCCTACTCCAGGCAGGGCACACCAAGATAGCCTGGTGCAACAGGGATTCTCGTCCGTTTTTATAATATGTTCTTCGCCAATTCTTGTATTCAAAAGGGATGCTGAATTAAACCTTTGGGGGCATCAATCTTCAAAAGTGGTCTAGCCAGTCTTGCTTTGAGCTGGCGCTGATCTCATACATGATATTGGTAAAGTCCGCTTCTCTGCATGTTTCTGTTGACTCGTTTCCTCTTGATTGATCTGCAATTCTTGGCTGAAACCATTGCTGAGGTGCTAAGACATGTGACATGGGAGGCTGGAGGATTCGAGATACCAACCTTTGGTGTTCTCTGAGGCTCCGCAGGCACGACCTCAACGTCATCCGTCGTCTGGGCGCGGGAGCTGATCCGCAAGGAGCTGTGTGACAAATGCCAGGAATTGGAACGCAAAGAGGGCTGTCTGAGAGCATCAGTAGCATTCAGTAGCTGAATCCAGGGTTGGGGCACGAAGCTGTTGGGCTCCACGCTGTCTCGGACGCTCGTCGACAGGGGCGGAGCATGCGGCATGCCCATAGTGGCACACGTCCGATCGCAGGGGAGGGGAGGGGCTGTGAGTGTTTCGGCTGCTCCTTGCTGGGAGTGTTTCTGCAAGTTTGCTGTCAGTTCATGTCTGCAGTGTTGACCCTCGACTTGCAGGACGGGCAGCTCACAGCCAAACTGAGGCCCAAGGAGGATTCCGATTGTGCACTCATATCATGTCCATGTTGAAAGCAGTGCTTTCTCAAAGATAGGCAGTTGATTTTTTCGGATCTCTTTTGAAAAGTTGCCGAACCCACACATGAACTGACTTGCAGCGTTAGTGAAGTTCGAGGATGGCAAGGAGTTTGAGCCGACGGGCAATGCGTTCCAAGTGAAAGGAGCCTTGGCTAACGCAGCGACCTTAGCTGCTCCACTCACTCGATTGCCTCAGTTCGTTTCTGTGTTTATGAGAGGTTCTCCACGCTTTTGGTGGACGACATCAGGTAGATGACCTGAAGAAGGCCCTGCGCTTAGAACTTGTGCGCGAATTTCGCTCGTGCTGTCTTCGGAGTTGTTTGCAGAAGGGCGATGACAAAGATTGAAGTTTTGAGTGTCCATGTTTGCGCCTCTTGCAACCCATGAAATCAGGCAATCAAAGCGGAAGAGGAACTGTCCATCGCAGCATCCAAGATTGATGTATACAGCCAGAAGGAGAGCTTTTTCATGTCAAACCCACTCTCCCACCTTGCCCTCCCTGTGCCGTGTCTCAGCTTGACTTTGCAGGATAGGGCCTGGGTGAAGGAAGCAAAGATGTCAGCAAGTCTGCGCGACAAAGATGAGCCGAGCGCTTGGTTTCGATGCCTTTTCAGCTTAGGGGCCTTTAGGGGTTTTGCCGTCGCCCCGCTCGCAGGGCAGATTGCTACGGGTTCGTGCTGCCATCAGCGGAAGATGCATAAGTTGCGCCTCAGCAGCGCAGGAGTTTGCGCGCTGTGAACTTGCATCCTTATTGACCGAACGTTGGCTTCGGCCCCTTGTTGTGTGAGCTTCTCGGCTGAGGTAACAACAGCATTCACCGACGTTTTGTTGCACTGCGGCTTTGCTTGACTTCCAGGATTAGCAGTCAGCAGTTCAACGCTC